ACGGCATGTGGGCAATAAATGGCGTGTAAAACAAATACAGTTGAAAGCAGCCTGTACAAAAGACAACAAGCAGCAGTATTAGAGATAGTGGTCCAGTGGCTCAGATGGAAAAGCACAGGTCTACGGTGTTGATGGTTGCTAGTTCAAATCCCCAGTGACTACCAATGACATTTGCTGATATTGGGTCCTTGGGCATAACACTTCAAGGAGAATGTCAGAAGTGCCATAAGTTGTTTGAAAAATGTAGTTTGAGTTATAATGAATTAAATTTAAAATTTGTTGAAAGACTTGATTTCATGTATTATATGTGGTTTAGATTCTGAAGAAGTGTATATTTCTGTGGCGCACTTGGTTTATAACTGTCTCTCATGCGGAAGGTTCCTGGTTCAAATCCAGGTCTGGTCTTTATTTTTTTGTTGTCAGATTAAATACAAATTGAATATGTATGAATATATATTTCATACATATGGCTATGTGTTGTTGCAATAGTAATCTTGCATTAGGATTATTATTGCATCATCGTTAGTGTTACGGCTCCAGGTCTGGGCCGTTTTGCGCAAGCACCTCCTCCCTCTCCCGGTGCGTCTCTCTCTGTCTGTGTGTCCGGCTCGTTCCCGCGAAGTCTAGGGCCCGCCTCCCGGATGCTGCCATTCGCCCGGAGTCCTCCTGTATGGCCAATAGGAGCTCCGCCCGAACCAATCTGCGCCACCAGCTGACCTGCCCGCGGCCAATAAAACAGCGGTGTGACGTCCAGACGGGGCGGCTTGTTTCCCATACAAGTGCGCCAGCCTTGAGAGACAGACGTGTGGTGGGGAGCTGACACCTTTTGAGAGACGTTACATGACCGTACGAGACCTTACGAGACCTTATTAGAATTGTGGTGATTTGTTACCTGTCGAAGGAACCCCTTTTGTTTAGTTTTCTGACTCTAAGTTTTGTCCAGGACGTTACCTTTTCTGCCTAGAAATAAAAGGCCATTTACTTTCGCCAATTACATCTGGTTGTGTATGTTGCATTTCCTTTCCCCTTCTCAGAGCCAAGTTTAGGGCTGTAACATATATTGGAGGCTCGTCCGGGATCTTGTTTTAAAACATTCCCGACAACGGTAAATGGACATTTACTTTGGGTAAGTGAAGGTGAATTGTATTTGGGCATTTTCAAAATGGTGTTTGACTTCGAGGCCTTCGTGGAAGAGCCTTCCCTTGAGGAGTTGAACAAATGCAAAAAGAAAGACCTCATAGCACTTGCTGTGCATTTTAATATTTTATATTCCAAACAGAGCAGAAAGGACGAGATCCGGGCGCTGCTTGTGGATGGCTTGGTGGAGTTGGGCCTGCTCTCGCAACCAGTGGCTCCTGAGGGGACTGATGAGAGTATTGTGCCTGCGGGAACCCCAAAGCGGGAGGAGAAACCTGGACCTTCAGATGGTTCTCCCCCTGGGACAAGGAGAGCGGGCGCGGGGGTTGATGAACCGCCTAACCCTCTGTTCACCCTTCCCCGGTATGACCCACACTCTCCTCCCACCTCTCCTCGGTCCTTGGATGCTGCCCGACGCGCTGTGCGCCTGGCCCGCATTAAAATGGAAGCTGAGCAGAAGGAACGGGACCGCAGTGCCGAGCTCGAATTTCAGGTGCGCAAGCTCGAGATAGAGGCTGACAAAGACGTCAAACTGCGCCGCCTTGAGCTGGAGGCTGAAGGTCGCCTCCCTCCCAGTCCTACTCCCGGCCCTGGACCCACCGCGCAGGCTGCAGCCCACTCCCCATCCGTTCACGGCGGCGCCCTCGATGTAAGTAAATTTATTCCCCTTGTACCCCCCTTCAGAGAGGGAGAAGTGGATTCATATTTTGCTGCATTCGAGCGCATCGCCTCGGCCTTAAACTGGCCACGCGATATTTGGCCTCTTTTGCTCCAATGTAAAATGTACGGGAAAGCCCAAGAAATCATTGCAGCCATGCCTCTTGCTGACAGTCTGCGGTACGAAGCAGTCAAGAGCGCCACCTGCTCTGGCTTCAGCAGGGGGACACATCTGGCACTGCAGGATTTGGTTCCCTGTCGTCGTAGTGTGTTACTGATGGTAACCTTTGTTAATTTGGTCCCAGCTCTCTGCAGGTAATTCACCAGGCCCCCCCGTGTGGTTCTGGGATTTTTGATCACTGTTCTCATGATCATTTTGACCCCACACAATGAGATCTTGCGTGGAGCCCCAGATCGAGGGATTATCAGTGGTCTTGTATGTCTTCCATTTTCTGATAATTGCTCCCACAGTTGATTTGTTCACATCAAGCTGCTTGCCTATTGTAGATTCACTCTTCCCAGTCTGGTGGTCTACAATTCTTATGGCATTCTTTTAAATGCCATTTGTTGTCCACATGTCGTTTTAAACGCCACGTTGTGTACATGCCACTGATCAGCTCCGGCAGCAAGCAAGCAAGCGCACGCACACACACGCACACGAACACCCACAAAAGAGGAAACAGAAGTCTGTTTCTGCTTTCCAAAAATGTGATGTGAACAGACAAAGGTGGAGCCCTGAAACTTTAGAGAAAGAACTTATAAAGAGAGATGACTACTAAATCTTTTACAGTCATCATTACAAGAAAATATGTAAGAACAATGTTTTGCGCCTAAAGGGTTAATATGTAAAACTGTACTCATTGTTCAAATACTGGTTGTTTTGCCGAGCAGTGATTCATGAGAAGAGCTTTGGGATCTGCAACGGCCCACACACATTTCACAACGGGCTGAGAAAAGTCTTCGGCCCAATAGTCTATATTGTGAGAGCTACCTTCTGAGTACTCTATGGAAGAGGACACAGGACTGTAGCCGAGTCCCAGGCCCTGGTCCTGGCCTTGGTCCCAGGAAGGAGCTGCAGCTTGTTTTGAAGCAGAGGTGTAGACTCAGCTCCTTCACTTCCTTTGGCTTCATTAGGTCCAGTTCATGTGACAGAGGCCTGGTGCTCTCAACACAGGCCTGTTACAGCTTTATTCAGTAGATCAGTAATGTTGTTGAATATTACAACTCACTCAAAAAGGTTGTGTTCTTCCTGTACACTTCTTCATTATCCACAGTACTATATGACTTAATCAGTTCCAGCTGTTTCCACTCTTGCTGCACACATGACTCAGCAGAGGATTTTCAGACTGCACAACAGCAAACATGCTCTGGTACAAGTAAAATGAGTATGTTCACCTTCAATATAGTGATTTGATTTAGTGACAGCTATAAGATTTGGTACAGTGGGGCAAAAAAGAATTTAGTCAGCCACCAATTGTGCAAGTTCTCCCACTTAAAAAGATGAGGGAGGCATGTAATCTTCATAGGTATTCAGTACCTCAACTATGAGAGACAGAATGAGAAAAAAAATCCAGAAAATCACATGAATTCAGGTGTCCAGTAGCAGCAAAAACACATCCATCCACACAAACAAAACCAATAAATTTATCATCACTTCAGTGCCCCCCATCTCCTTATTGTTTCTCATCCCAGACTACGCAATGGAGTTAGAGGGCTCGCCATTGTGAGTACTCAGGAGGCAAAAGCAGAGGCGGCGGACTATGCTTTACATTAACACACACTGGTGTAACGATGTGACAGTGGTCTCCAAGCACTGTTGTCCTGCTCTGGAATATCTTTTCATTCACTGCAAACCGTTCTACTCTCCATGAAAGTTCATTTAATTCTCAGAACGTACTAGCAAAGCAAGTACTGTGCATGGAGCGTTTATACTCTGGCTCTGATTATTATCCTGGGGGATTTTAAAAAGGGAAACCTGAGCCAGGAATTACTCAAATACAGACAGTTTATCACATGCCCTACCAGAGAGGAGAACACACAGGATCACTTTTACACCACTGTGCGCAGAGCTTATCGCGCTGTGTCCCGCGCAGCTCTAGGCGCGATTACTCCATGATACATCTGATTTCTGCATATAGAGACAGAGACTGAAGCTCTCAAAACATGTAGTGAGGAACTCCAAGGTGTGGTCGGATGAGGCTGTGGAGGAGCTGTGCGCGTGCTTGGAATCCACGGATAGGGACTCTTTCAGAGCTGCCACAGGAAGTTTAGATGGCTACACGGACACTGTGACGTCATACATTCATTTATGCGAGGACGGCATAATCCCAACAAGGACCAGGGTCTTCTACAACAACGATAAACCCTAGTTCAACGCTAAGCTCAGGCAGCCCAGGAAATTGAAAGAGTCCACTTTCAGAGAGGGATACTGCAACGGCTACAAGGTGGCGAAAAATCAATTCAGAAAAGCACTCAGTGAGCGACCTTGAGACATTGTGCAGACGTACTCGCTCCAGTCTTTGCTGACATTTTTAACACTTCGCTGGAGTCCTGCCATGTCCCCCCCTGCTTCAAGACCTCTACGGTTGTCCCTGTCCCCGTGAAGACCCAGATCACTGGACTTCATGACTACAGATGTCAGAGCCACAGATCTGTAGTCATTACTTCCTGACCGACAGGAAGCAGCGTGTGCATCTGGGGAAGAATGTCTCAGACTCTCTGATTATAAATACAGGAGCCCCACAGGGCTGTGTTCTTTCTTCCTTGCTCTTCTCACAGTACACCAACGACTGCACCTTCCTAACATTGTACGCCACCACTCCATGAACCTCATCAAGTTTGCGGACGACACCACCCTCATTGGACTCATCTCCAACGATGAGTCCACCTACAGGAGGAAGATGGACCGGCTGGTGTAACAACCTGGAATTGAACGCCCAGAAGACAGTGGAGATGATTGTGGACACCTCTGTGGAGTCCTTTAGTTTCCTGGGCACCACCATCAACAAGGATCTCAAGTTGGAGGCGAACATCAGCGCCCTGATCAAAAAGGCCCAGCAGAGGATGTACTTCCTGTGGCAGACTAGGGAAGCAATTTCCTAGTCTGTGACTTCCTGTTACTTGCATGGCAATAAAAATGATTCTGATTTCATTCTCATTCCCTGATGAAATGAGTCTACTTGGAGCCCGAATAAAAAGCGTCTCACCTCCAGCATACATGACGGCCAGCATAATGGAGGATATCCATGACACCTGGCTGGGAGTAGCATCAAAGATCGCCTCAATCTCCTTGAAGAAGACTGTGATGGATTTGGGGAAAGCGTAAGAGAAGCCAATGGAAATGAAGGCTCCTACTACCACGGCCCAGCCCCATCCACCCTCTGGGGGGGTGTACCCGGCTGGCCCACCCACCGGAGCAGGCATGCTGCAGGGAGGGGTGAAGCAGACGAAAGCACCTGGAAAAAAAACACAAGTGATCAGATTCACACCAGACCGTTGAACCGGTCGTATATAGGTGACAATGTATCATATTTTTTGTTTCACAAGTTACAAGGTAAAACACTATAGAAAAGGCCAGCACTGTCATTCTTTCACTCCTCACTTCTGATACTAGACTACTACTTCAGCCAGCTACTTTCACATGGTTGCATGTGTAACCTGCATTTCCTAACATTGTACGTTTATATCTATTATATTTACATATAATTTATAATATTTTATTAATATTGCGGGGAATTATATACAAAGAGCCGCAGTGGCCCTTCCCCCACTGCTCTTTGACTGTGGTCTGTGGCATCCGTCTGTCTTCTCGGCGTCTATTGCATTTACAGCGCTGATTTCACATCGTATTAATTACTTTGAAAATCCGATCCAGGGTGAGTCCATACACAAGTTTATGTTCGTATTATGTACTGCATAACTCTATAGCGCTCATGATCGCGTACTTTTCACAGTATCAGTCAGCGTTTCTTAGCGGGGCTAACAAACCCAACAAACTACGCGGGCTGGCATCATTCCACTTCAAAATTGACTCTGTACCTTCAATAGTGAGTTATCTGACAGCAGTTCGGGTTATTTATTTTGTGTTTAGCGAGTGATCTTACGTTACATGATAATGTTTAGTTTTGTTTGGTGGTAACCTCGCTGCCGTTCCCATTCAAAGCTCCGCGAGACTCTTACTATTTGTCCCCGTTTACATGTGTCCGCGACGCACAAAGCATCGCGTCTAGCGCTTTGAATTGAGCTATTTTTAGTTCTGATTAATTGTAGAAACGTTGCCGTACTGCAAAAACGCGGCAACAGGTTTCCATTTTTGATTAATCTTTGATTAAATTACTTTTTTTTTTACGTAGCTACGTGTTTAATTTAGCGCACTTGCTAAATTGAAGCTGGGGTACCTATTTTTCCCTTGCACTACCAGTTCATGTTGGTTGTGCCCAAAAGTAATGGTTTGAGCAAATCAAACAGATTTAATGACATTCTGCATTTTGAAAGGACAACTCACCCTCAAATCCACTTTTTTATGCTGATAAACGGTATAAATGAGTGTCCAATAGGGTTGTCTACATATCCTGGTCATAATTTTGTCACTTTGGTGCAAATTAGTAGAAAGTTAAACTTTCTGCCTAAAACCGTCTGTGAGGCACCATCTTCTGGCGACCTGTATTACTACATTTGAATTTTTGAATCTGGCGGCGACAGTAGCTCAGTTGGTAGAGCATTGGCCTTTGGGCCTGGAGGTCGTGAGTTCGATTCCCACCATGGGACCTACTCCAACTGCTCCCACTGATGACTGCTGTCGTTGTGTCCTTGGGCAAGACACTTAACCCCACGTTGCCTGAAGCCCCCCGCTGAAAGATCAAGGCGGTTTCTCAACTGATGGAGCAGCCATCTTCCTCTGGACTCACCCCCTGCAGAAGATCAGCGAGGGACTGGTGCTAGAGCCCTGCACGGGCCTATTATCTGGGCCCGAGCCCGGCCCTGGCCCGAGGGGGTGGCGCCCCAGCCCGGCCCGGCCCGATATGGTTTCTGAATTTTCAGGCCCGAAACCCGCATCAAGCCCGCCTTTTTTTTTTTTTTTTGTAACCTCCCATAACAATGTTTTAGCGTAGTATATAGTGCCGCGCACTGATATGAACGCAGACTTAGCTAGAGGGCGGAGTTATACATGGTAGTGATGTGTTGCAATGAGTTCTGTGTGTGCGGAGTGGTGCAGAGTGAACGGCCGCATCTGTATGATGCCCCCGATGCTGCAACACATCTGCACATTACATAAGTAATGCTATGTGCCGTCAATGACAACACTACAAAGAACAACAAACACTACAGCGTGATAGAACGCTATATTCAGTGGGTGCGTTCGTAAATCTATTCTGCCGCTCTGAAAATGAAGAGCCCGAGCCCGGCCCGTGTCCGAGGTCATTATGCGGTCATCGGCCCGAAGCCCGGCCCTCGGGCTGTCGGGCCGTCGGGGCCCTCGGGCCAAGGGCTCAAGTGCAGGGCTCTAACTGGTGCTATGAGCATTGGGTGGCAGCTCTCATTGCCCCCCCCCCCCGACCCAGAAATGGACAAATAAAGGGGTTGAATATGAAATGAAAGTCAGCAGCCCCCCGCCCAAAGCTATATGAACGGCCCAGTCTCGTTCACGCCCCCTTTAGTCCTCCAGGCTACGCCCATTTAGAGGAAGATTTGAACAGGAAATGTGAGTGACATAAGCTCCGAGGAGCAGGGGTGAGAACCACTTGAAATGTCCCTCATCCCTGTAACAATAGTTTTGGTCAGAGTGACTACAGAAAGACAGAATGTTAATAATGTTAATGCCATTTTATATGGATTTATTGTTATAATAAACAAATAGAGTACATATGTACACTATGTTATATCTTTCCATTCAAACAACCATTTACAAAAAAATATGGCATAATTTTGTCGATAGTTCAAAATGCGATTAATTACGATGAATTAATTAAGCTGTAATTAACAATTAAAACAATTTAATTGTTTGACAGCCCTAATATGAACACTATACTTAGTGTTGGGTAGAATACTTTGAAAATGTATTCCGTTCCAGAATACTTTCTGGAACGGAATCATGTATACAGTAGTATACATGACTTAAAATGTATTTTGTGTAGTATTCCTTACTTTGGAAAAAATAGTATCTGTATTCTTGTATTTATTGTAAATTCATGTTTATTTACAAAGCTTATAAAAGGTAAATGTCAAAATATTTAAAACCACAACACCAATACATTTTTAAATAAATAAAACAATTTATTTTTCTGTAATTATTTGACAATTTGTTGACAATTTGTTGTTTACAAGTCAAAGTGCTTCAACAGCTGCCAACCAGAAAAAAATAGAATCTTCACATTAAAGATAAAAATACCCAAAGTTGCCTTTTCCTTTTTCAACTGTAAAAACATAATGTGAAACAGTATGTATTCCTGTGATTTTCTGAAAGTAACAGTCTTCTAAATACTAGACTTTAAAGTAGTAACGAATACAGTTAATCAGAAAGTATTCTGATTACGTAATGGGATTACTCCATTACTACCCAACCCTGACTATACTTTTATAAGGCTATTCCTGTTGGGACAAAAACTTGGTCCGGCCCACACACCCTGGGATCCGTCACTCTGCCCCAACTGAGCCTAGCCCTGTGCACGTGCTGTGGAGGGCCCTGCTCTGTACCCTGCTGCAACAGGGGTCATGTAAAGAGCCTACACATTATTTATAGCCAACTCATGGACCATCATGTGATGCGCCCCAACACGACCAGGACGCTATGCACAGGTTAATAATAAAGTAGATCAGCCGTCTCAAACGACCTGTTTGTAACAGGGGACTTCGTATTAATAGTTTCCACCATCGAGTTTGTGAAGTATACATTTTTCCAAAATGTTTTGAAACATACAGTGGTGATGATGGAACCCCCACCAAATTTTACTGTAGGAAGTGTGTTTTTGTTGAAATTCTGTGTTCTTTTTTGTCCATCATAACGGCCATTGTTTTGCACAAATAACTATATAAGTCTCATCAAATCCATTGCACCTTGTTCCAAAATTAAGCAAGCTCGTCCAAATGTGCTTTATTGTGTAAAGTGCACTGAATAGTTGAATGATGCACAGTGACACAATCTGCCGCAACCTGAGTTTGTAGGTATTTGGAGCTGGTTTGCTGGTTGACAGACTGTTCTCACCATCCTGCTTATCTGAGACTTTTCTTTGTCTGGCACTTTGGGCCTTAACTAGAACTGTGCCTGTGGTCTTCAAATTCCTCAAAGTTAAAACTGAAAGCTTAAATCTCCGATAACTTTTTGTATCTTTGGTAAATAAGATTTTTCTTGCACAATTTCTGTAAAAAAAAACTATTTCACTTCTCAAATATCACAGTGTGTGTCTTCTATACGATATGTTTAATCGAAACAACCAATGATTTATAATCACAACAATTGAAAGGGGTGTCCAAACTTTTTCATACCGCTGAATGAATAGAGCTGGGAGGGGTTGTCAGACCACGTCATTTACACGCGGTGCGTAATTAGCAACATTGATGGGGCGTATGGATTTATAATAATGGAAGGGTGACTGCTGGCTATTACCTCCGAGAGCAAGGGTGTCAAACTCTGTGGGCCAAATTTGGCCTGCCATGTAATTTAATTTGGCCTTTGAGGATCAAATTAATTCCACATTGTTCCGATCCATGTCCACCACACCTCGGATCAGACTGCCCCTAGACCCAGTTCCTCTCCCATGTCCCAGTTCTCCCATGGCTAGGAGAGCACAAATCAAATTATTTCGGGGGCACCAAACTGAAAACCCTAAAACTGAATGCTGCAAACCAAAAATATAAAATCTGAGGCCTTCCACCCTAAACCAAGTTTTAAGTCCAAAAAATATATATTTTTAGGAAGGGGTTATTCAATTTATTCACTCATGATGACACTTATTGTCCAATCAGTGTAAGGCAGTTGGCTGACGTCACGTTATAGTGTAGCTTCAGCACCCTTGGAAACACGGCGGTACTAAAAAAGTACCCTAAGCCTAGTGGAAATGCAAAAAACGTGCCGTGCCGTACCATGACTATGGAAAAATATGACGTTTTTCCACAGTCCTAGTTGCTGTTGGCTTGGTGATGAGCAGTGCCTGGTTTCCTCCAAACATGATGCTAGGGGTGGGCGATATGGCCTAAAATTCATATTGCGGTATAATTTGGGTCACAGACGGTAGTCGGTATATATTGCGGTATAATTTGGCGTGTGAATTTCAATATGGGTTCTTGCATAAAATAGTCAAGATTGTTACTTATTTATATATTATATATATTTTTTTTGAGTTTGAAAATCAGGTGTGAGATAAATGAAGAGACAATTTCTGTAACATACATTTATGTATGTTACAATAAAGGCCATTTACTGTAAAAGCAATTTAAAAAAAGAAAAACATGCATTCAT